GTACCAAACACCATCTCCTGGTACTCATCAGAGTATCTCACTGAAAAAGTTGTGTGCACCCCTGATTGTGACAATAAATCCACATAAATGGCATTAACATTATTAACATTCTGTCTTAGTAGACACTATTCTTTCAGCACAACATATTCCGCATTTGCTAAAACCTCCTCTTTCTTCTTTTTCTCTGTCTCATAAAGGCTGTGGATCCTCTTGCTTATTGTGCCTCTACAAACTATTGTTTGTTACAGGGATGAGAATGGGACATTTGAAAAAAGTCTGAAATGCATGTCAGCCAAGGGCTGTCATTAACTCTGTTTGATTTGCTCACATTTTACTTTTGGGCACCACCAACATGAAAATGTAAGTACCGCAGCTTTAATTTAGTGAGTTTCGTTGCGCTTTCGGACACGGGGGACACGGACTGTTTCTTGCAGCGCTGTATTTATTGTGTGTACTGGTCACGCACACAACAAGCAGAATATGGTCCTGTGCATGTACAGTATATGGCCTTGGGTACATGGCCACGTTACGGCTGTGCGCTCCTGTGTTGTTGAAAGCCGCTCACATTATATGTCTTTTATTAAACCTTTATTCTGAGACGCAGTCACAGTAGGAAGATTTACTTTATTTAGATGTGTGTTAATTGTGTGTACAGGAACATTGGGCCTCATTCACGAACGGTTCTTAGGAACAGATTTGTACGTAAATCCTACTTACGCGGTTTTTACGAAGAAAGTGGCATTCACGAATATTTCTCATAACCAGAATTTCTCTTGGGCAAGTACAAATCCTACGAGTCCTCAGGAGCACTCGTACGCATTCAGTGCCGACATGTTCACACGCCGGGGTTGTCCTCTTTGGTGAAGTTGAATAAACATACAACATTCCAGTGATATGTCCGTCATATCGATGTATGTATTTATTTATTTGTAGTAATCTTTATTAGTAATCTTTATTTATATACCGCCTTTTTCACTGCAGATCTGGCCTACTTTTTAATTCATTTTGAAATGAAATGTGCCAACGCTTTATCAAATACATTGGAAATCTTGCCGTGTATTAGTGACCCCTTCCTATTTATAGGGGGCATTTCTTTATCCACGGGCCACAGAACAACGGCATATATACTGCTGCTGCAGGAGGTTATGGGTCCGCGCTGAGTCTCTGCGCTGGTTTCTCCTATGGATCTATACGGGTCTGCACTGGTCTCTCCCATGGATCTATACTGGTCTGCACTGGTCTCTCCCATGGATCTAGACGGGTCTGCACTGGTCTCTCCCATATACGGGTCTGCACTGGTCTCTCTCCATACGGGTCCGTGCTGCATGCTCCTGGATCCATACGGGTCCGCGCTGGTCTCTCAAGTCTGGTCTATGCGGTCTATCTTCGGTCCGCGCTGGTCTCTGCGCACCGGTCTCTCCAGTCAGGTCACTCCAGTCTATGCGGTCTCTCCTATAGGTCCGCGCTGGTTTCTGTGTGCTGGTCACTCCAGTCTCTCCTCGGGTCTGCATTGGTCTCAGCGCTAGTCCGCGCTGGATCTCCTCCCAGGGTCCAAAATATTTTGAGATTAATCTCAAAACATTTTGAGATTCATCTTTAAAATAATGCATAATATATTTTTAAATTAAGCTCATAACATTTTGAGATTAATCTCATCATATTCTTAGATTAATCTCATAATTTTGCTAGTTCGACTTTATTATCATAATATTTCGACTTTTAAGTCAACATTTTATAACTTTATTCTCAGTCTGGTAAAAGAAGAAAAAAGGGTGACTCTTTTGCTCCGTGTAACTCTTTGCTTTAGGCCTGTTGCTGTTTCCTCAGCCGTCTGCACACGGCCCTGCATCCCCTTATATGGGCATTAGTGGGCGGTTACTTATGCTAAGTACCTATGCTAATGAAGCACCTGGCACGCGCGCTGTACTTACGAGGAAATGGGATTCATCAATCTGAGAGAACAGCTGCGAACAATTCAGCGGCTTACGAGTGCGTTGATGAATCCCACGTGGGGACTTCTTAGAAATCTACTTAAGGACAACTTGAGAAGAAAGTTGAGTAGTTTCTTACGAAGTTATTCGTGAATGAGGCCCATTGTCTGCTTCAGGGCTATAGAGACTGCCATAAGTCTTTGTCCAATATTTTATCTATCACAGCCTGTTCTTTATTTTTTTTATTTCTGTGCACATTTATCTGCCCTCCTCCAGAAGTATGATCTGATAAGGGTACAATCTCACATTTTGCCACTTTAGAAATATCATGTTTAAACATAAAAAAAATTGTTCAGTCGAGATTTAATTTTGTGTGGGCCAGAAAAAAAAGTGATGGTTCTTTCCTGTAAATGGAGGGTTTGCCCAACATCCAGCAATCCCAGTTCTGATTTTTATGTTTTGATTTGCTTTCTGTATTCATTTTTGGATTCATTACTGTGACGCCAGCTACATAGAAAATAGGTCCTCAGTCTGAAAAAGTGGCAGATGAACTCCCACAAGATTAACATGGCTAACACAACAGAAGTAAATCACTTGATTTAAAAATGAATAATTTAAAAAAGAAAATCAATACAAATTTAAATTATCCTTGAAATTGAAATCCTCGAAATTTGTAACGGGTGTGATGGTTTCCCTCAATTTTGTTCTAAAAATTAAACTTGAGGAAAAAAATAAATTAAAAATGCTCCCCCCTGGACTGCCACCTTCACGAGGCTGAGGATGTTGGGGGGGATACTTCCATATCCCTGGCTGATGTCACCAAGGTGGTTGGCAGCCTCCATGGTGGCAAGGCGCCGGGAGTGGATAAGATCCGTCCTGACTATCTAAAGTCTCTGTAGGTTGCAGGACTGTCTTGGCGCACACGTCTCTGCAACATCGCGTGGCGATCGGGGACGCTTCCAATTAAGTGGCAGACCGGGGTGGTGGTCCCTCTCTACAAGAAGGGGGACCGGAGGGTGTGTTCCAATTATCATGGGATCACACTCCTCAGCCTCCCTGGTAAGGTTTACTACAAGGTACTGGAGAGGAGACTATGACCGATGGTCGAATCTCTGATTCAGGAGGAGCAGTGTGGTTTTCGTCCCGGTCGCAGAACACTGGACCAGCTCTATACTCTCCATCGGATACTTGAGGGTTCATGGGAGTTTGCCCAACCTGTCCACATGTGCTATGTGGATTTGGAGAAGGCGTCCGACCGTGTTCCCCGGGGTGTCCTTTGGGGGGTTCCCCGGGAGTACGGGGTCCGGGGTCCTCTGTTGAGGGCCATCTGGTCCCTGTATGACCGGAGCCAGAGCTGCGTTCGCATTGCCGGCAGTAAGTCAGACCTGTTCCCGGTACACGTTGGCCTCCGCCAGGGCTGCCCTTTGTCACCGGCTCTGTTCACAGTGTTTATGGACAGAATTTCTAGGCGCAGCCAGGGGCCGGAGGGGGTCCGGTTCGGGGACCACAGGATTTCATCTCTGCTGTTTGCAAACGATGATGTCCTGTTGGCTCCAACGAACCAGGACCTGCAACATGCACTGGGACGGTTTGCAGCCGAGTGTGAAGCGGCTGGGATGAGAATCAGCACCTCCAAATCTGAGGCCATGGTGCTCGACCGGAAAAAGGTGCCTTGCCCTCTCCGGGTGGGTGGGGAGGTCCTTCCTCAAGTGGAGGAGTTCAAGTATCTCGGGGTCTTGTTCACGAGTGAGGGAAGGATGGAGCGTGAGATTGACAGGTGGATCGGTGCAGCGGTCGCTGTATCAGAACGTTGTGGTAAAGAGGGAGTTGAGCCGAAAGGCAAAGCTCTCAATTTATTGGTCAGTCTTCATTCCCTCCCTCACCTATGGTCATGAGCTTTGGGTAATGACCGAAAGAACGAGATCGCGGATACAAGCGGTCGAAATGAGCTTCCTCCGCAGAGTGGCTGGGCGCTCCCTTAGAGATAGGGAGAGGAGCTTAGTCACACGGGAGGAGCTCGAAGTAGAGCCGCTGCTTCTTCACGTCGAGAGGAACCAGTTGAGGTGGCTCAGGCATCTGTTCCGGATGCCTCCTGGACACCTCCCTGGGGAGGTATTCCGGGCATGTCCCACCGGGAGGAGGCCCCGGGGAAGACCCAGGACACGCTGGAGGGACTATGTCTCTCAGCTTGCCTGGGAACGCCTTCGGGTCCCCCCGGACGAGCTGGAGGAAGTGTGTGTGGACCCGGCAATCGATGAAGCGGAAGAAGATGGAATGGGGAAAAAATGGTCTGGTTTCACTTTTAGTTGGTTTACTATATCTCGGTGGGACCTCGTCCTTTGTGTGCACCATGTGCACTGTATATTGTATATAGTAATTGTAACTAAATTTTAAATTTATTCCTTAGAAGTGTTTTTTATTCTTTATTTTTTATTCTCTCTTTCTGACTGTTGCACCGAGCCAAAGCAATTTCCAAGTCTGTGACCTCCTGTTACTTACGTGGCAATGAAAATTATTCTGATTCTGATATGAAAATAATCACTTTGTTTCTGCTCTGTATAAAAAAGAATATATTAATCCAATGTGGACATCTGAAAATATGTAGCAAAGTTCTGCGTAGCTCATTCCATCAAAACATCACGTCCGTTACAAAAAATAAACAGGACCAAAACTTTACTAATTTTTAAAACAGTTATCTTCTAGCTACTTCTATTGGACGGAGGAGGTAAGCAGGAGAAAAACAGAAAATATCTTTGGATTATTAAAATCTAATTTTTGGCCTTTTGTGTGAGCAAGCCCTTTTGAAAGCAATAGACAATTCGGCTGAAATTAGGCCCTCGGGGTGGGCGATAACCTGTAATGGGGAACACTCGGCAGCTGTTCAATGTCCATAAATGTTGTTGAATGTGGAGTGTCCTGGACTAAGTGTCCCTCCAGCAGGGACACTTAGTCCCTGCTGGGGGGATCCATTTACCCGTTACAGGAACAGGTAACTGGATCAGGATTACATCTGCAGCACTTGGGTACTCAGTCCTGGTCTAATGCTTCTGTAACCTCTCGTTCCTCCAGGAGCACCCTCTGCTGGGACAGACGTTCTTCATGTTACATCCCTGTAAAACAAACACCTTCATGAGACCAGTGCTGCAGGCGGCTCAGAGAGAGAACAGGTGAGACCAGAGAGAGCCCAGAATGAGCCCATAGAGAGGGCAGGTGAGAAACGTATTTGTTGCTGACCTAAAACCATATTTGCACACTGCACCGACCTGCACTGGTCTATGGGTTCAAATCCATTCAGTTTATTTTTGTATCGCCCTAAATCACAGGAGTAGTTAGGTGTCGATTCACCAACACAGATCAGAAAATCCAACCGTAATGCAATAATAAAGAACACACAGAGCCATTGGTCCATAAGGAACAGATGACCAATGTCCATAAATGTCCTGAATCGTCCTGGATCATCGCCACTGTCCTTAGACGCTCCTGCATCGGCATGGAACAACTCAAAAAACGTAATGGGAAAAAGTGAGAAACCTCTGGGAGGCCCACATGGACAAGACAAGATACTCCTTTATTGTCCATTTAGTGACAAGGGTTCCCTATATTTACATAGACACCACAAACATTTACATACACCACAATAAACATTCAATAGACCACAATAGACACCGGTTAGAGAGCTATCAGAGACCTCTAGGACCAGAGAAAAAAAGATTGGGTAAACAGAACATCAAGACAGAGCACCACACTGAGGGAGGGATCCACCCCCATGGATACACTATAGATCCAGGACTCTCTCTGGTGTCTCTGGTGTTTCCAGATTGAAAGCAGTGGACAGTAGCAGTGGCGGATGTGTTAATAGAAATTGAGGTCTTTGTTAGGACATGGAGAAAATTAAGAGTAGTGATGTAAATCTTTTTGTTTCTCAGAGCAGTGAACTATGTGCTGACGTGGCTCAGCGTGGTGGGACCCCTGGTGGGTCTGGAGGTTCCTCTAGAATACTGCTCAGGTTCTAGACCAGACCAGACCTGATCTACAGACTGTAAACCAGACCAGACCTGATATTTCTGCACTCGTCTTCCCTCCAGGTAGATCTCTTCCCAATTCTCTTGTGTTCAAGGTGCGTTGCTGTGACTGTCCCTACTGCATTCATGCATTTCTTTCTCCTCTCAATCTGTAGCCTCAAATAACACAGGTCTCCTCCTTCCATACTTAGGACACGGGCCAGTGTGTCAGAACGACTCGGCTTCCAACCTACCTTGTGAACTAGTGTTTTTATGAACACAGCATGAAGGATTGCATCTTCTCTCCGTTTAATGCATTGTGATTATGTATGATTTTAATATTTACATAAAAGTTCCAAAGAGGCCCAGGTATACATCACAGAGGGTAGAGGGCTCAGTATACATCACAGGGGTTAGAGACCTCAGTATACATCACAAGGGTTAGAGACCTCAGTATACATCACAAGGGTTAGAGGCCTCAGTATACATCACAAGGGTTAGAGGCCTCAGTATACATCGCGGAGGGTTAAATGCCTCAGTATACATCGCAGAGGGTTAGAAGCCTCCGTATATATCGCAGAGGGTTAGAGGTCTCTGTATTCATCACAGAGGGTAGAGGTCTCAGTATACATCACAAGGGTTAGAGGCCTCAGTATACATCGCGGAGGGTTAAATGCCTCAGTATACATTGCAGGGGGTTACAAGCCTCCGTATATATCGCAGAGGGTTAGAGGTCTCAGTATTCAACACAGAGGGTAGAGGTCTCAGTATACATCACAAGGGTTAGAGATTGTACATCCCAGAGAGAAAGAAGCCTCAGTATATCAACATTAATTGAATGCTATGTGTGTTTTGAATGTTTCTTTTCTTGTTTTGTGTTTCACTTTGAGTTATGTATGAACTCTGATATACAAATAAACTCGCCTTGTCTATTTTAGACACAATAAAAAAAGTGTTTTCTTGCCTGCTGCTCACATGTGGCTCAGGGAAAGGTTTCAAAACTACATCTTTATTTCACAATAAATGTGTTTTATATTGTTAATATACACATTTTATTCAGTCTTGTGCAGCTTTACAATAAAAAATATCAATATAAAATATATGGATATTGGGCCTCATGTATGAAAGTTGCGTAGAAAAGGGTGTATATTTTGGGTATATATCTCATTTACGCAAGATCCGACGTGGCATTTATGAACGTGAGAGATACGCACAGATCTGAGCGTACGCACCTGCGGCTGTTGATTAATGCCGCGCTCTAAACTAGCGTATTTATGAAAGTCAAGCCTAGAAATATTCAGAAACTGCCTGTTCCACGCCCTGTTTTTGCGACAGGTCAGCAGGAAGTCGGATAGGAAGACTGTTTGGAAGCCTCAAAAAACACACACTTATGAGATTATCACGTTTAAAATATATATATATATACGCTCTATTATATATACGCGGTTTTCCCTAGTGTCTGGACCCACTGCAGCACTCGTCTCTCCTGAAATTTAGAAGTAAATAAATAAATAATGAATGAATGAACCAGTTCCCACATGCGCGATGCATCCTCTCTGCTAAGCGGAGAACAGGGCAGTGGATGAGCAGTTTTGGGCAAGATCAATTTCGTTTATGGGGCTTTATGCACAAAACTAAGGAAAACCCACATTGCTTTGCCAGAGGTGAATGAGGCAAAACATATGCATAATTACGTATACGGCGCAGGGTCTGGTTAGTGAGTAAACGGCTAAGGAAAAATAACTTCACGGAGCAGGAGATTGAGACCATTATGAACGAAGTGGGAAAAAGAATAAAGTCTTACTATTTGGAATTCTCAAAAGTGGCATCAAGGGGTTCAAAAAACAATATATGGGAAGAAATGACAGCATCTGTAAACAGCGTGGGGCCTGCAACACGCACTCCTGAAGTGGTGAGTTTATTCATGTTCGAAGAAAAATACGCTTTGTTATATCAAACAGTTGATATATTGGGCCAATAGTAAGAATTAATTAATTTATGCTACAAGTGAAAAAAAAGGGAGCAACCTTAAAATGGTAACAAAAAGGCGTTTAGGGCAGCCCATAGAAGAAGTGCCAGCTCAGCTGGCAGGAGGACTGCCAGACCAAAGCATCCAAAAGAAAATATAAAGAAATAAAATTATCTTCAAATTATGTATGTGATTCTACGTCATGGTGCTACGTCCCTTAGGACTTCGCTAGTGGGATATCACTCGTGACCCCCAGGTCACACGCCAGAGAGATCAAAATAATTTGCTCCAATCACCAGCCACCCTCCTCTATAAAGGCCCCTGCACAAGGCCGCACCCCCTCTTTCACTCTGGCGCCGATTGAGATCTACCACAGTACGTACTTTATTCCAGAGAAAGATGTCTTCTGATGCTCGTCCGAGTTCCCCTTCGCCCTCCGGCGTCGGACGTCGTCGTTGCTCGACGTGTCGAGTCAGGCTCCAGCGCACGGACCAGCACTCCAGCTGCTTCATGTGCCTGGGCCCGGGCCATGCGGCGTTGAGCGCCACCTGCACCTCGTGTCTCGCTCTCCCCAGGGAGAGCGAGACGCTGCAGCGCTCCGTCCGGACTCCTCTCAGGACGAGGAGTCTGAGACTGACTGGGCCCCACTCGACCTTCCACCCGTGCCCGCGGAGTGGGGTGACTGTGAGGACGGAGAGGTTTCAGAGGTCGGCTCCCTCACGCTGGACGAGGGGGTGTCGAACCCGGAGCCGGACCGCTTCCCACTGGACCACATGCCTGGGCTCTACTCCTCCGCGGCGGCCATCATGGATGCCCCCCTGCCACCGCAGCCGACCCAGAGGGCGGAGGACTTCACCTCTGGTTACGCCACCACTCGAGGGAGGAGGAGGATACAGCCCACGTTGTGCCCGCGGATGGACCCGATCGTACATTACGCGACACGTGAGTAGCCAAAGCCCCTAGCGGCCAAGAGGCCCGCTTTGGGCTACGGCATGTATTGCAGCGTGCAGGACTGGTCCTGGACCGGCGGGGTCCCGGACATCGAGGATTCGGTCCGCATGGCCCTGCACCCCTCCGCATCCGTGTGGCCCGGCACCAGACCTCTCCTTCCCTCCGAGCGGGACAGGACGTCTTTGGCTATGCTGGACAGATGTTACGCCAATGCGGCACAGGTCGTCGCTGTGGCAAATAACATGGCCTTCATCACGGGGGCCCTGGATAGGTCGCTCTCTTCTGGCCAGGCGCTCAGTGGAGACACCTTATCACAGGCGAGGACCACCTCAGCGGCGATCCTGCGCATGTGCCAGGCGCTAGCTGTCGATGGCGGCCGCTCCATGGCAGCAGCTCAAGTCGGGACCAGGCACCTTTGGCTTGGGCTAGCTAACATCAGGGAGGCGGAGAAGAGGCAGCTGCTGGACCTGCCTGTTTCCCAGACGTCCCTCTTCGGTCCAGACATGCAGACACTGGTGGCTAGACTGGAGACCGCAGCCAAGGACTCGGCTAGCCTAGCCCAGCACCTAGCGCCGAGGCGCGAGGCCCGCCCACCAGCACGGAGCCGGGACAGAGGCAGGGAGCGTTCGCCCGGGAGGCGCCCTGGCCCATATCCACGCTCTGTGGCCTATCGTCCCCCCTCGACGAGGCCCCCGGGTCCAGACAGGCCCACGGGAGGCTCGCGGGACCAACGCACCCACCGCCGACCTCCCTATGGCAGAGGAGGTCGGGGTGGGAAGAATTCTTTCAATAAAGGCCGACCGGCATTTCATCATTACTCGCTGTCTGAGTCTCATTTGGGGGAATGTAACATGTCAAATAATCTTGTGAATTCTGATTGTGTTACTTCTCGAGCACATAACATTACTTCGCTAGGCCTGCAGCCCCCAGAGCAGGGTTTGCTGTGCGCTACGCGAGCTACGAGCTCCGGGTTCTCTGGTTCATGCTATGCCCTCCCAGAGAGAGGTCAGGCGGAGGGATCTGGTGAGTAGTGGTGTGTGTGCTTCGGCCGAACGCGTGTTAGCATCTCTGAGCTACAAGGCTAACACGGGGTCTCCTACTCCAGGGGCTCGCCCCCCCCTCCATGAGGCAAGAGCCAGGGGGGGGCGGAGCAGTCGAGTCACATGGCATGAGCAGGCCCGTACTTATGACGTCGGGCCTGCAGGACACGTGACCCCCCCTGGCGCACACGGTATGACGCAGGGGGCCCCCCTGCCCTTTCGTCCACCCCCCCCTCCCTGCTAGGAACAACAGGAGAGGGCGGGGCTGTGACGTCTCGTGTTCCAGCAGGGCTTACTGGCGGATCCGTGGCTGGAAAAGACATTGCGCAGGGGTTACGCACTGCAATTCTCCCGAAAGCCACCGCCGTTCCGGGGCGTGCGGGCAGCGCGCTCTCTGGTACGGGGATCGCTAGTGGCACTACAAGCGGAGTTCTCCTCTCTGCTAAGTCGAGGCGCAGCAGTAGAGGTGGACCCACAGGACGCCGCCAGGGGGCTCTACTCCCCTTACTTCTTAGTGCCAAAGAAGTCAGGAGGGGTGCGTCCCATTCTGGATCTGCGCACTTTGAACGAGTGCATTTCCAAGCGGCAGTTTCGGATGCTGTCCACAAAACAGCTCCTCGAGTGTGTCAGGCAGGGAGATTGGATGTCCTCCATAGACCTGATAGACACTTACTTTCACGTGCCGATAGTTCCGGAACACAGGAAATTCCTGCGCTTCGCAGTGGGAGAGAGGAGTACTGCCGTCTCCCCTTCGGCTACGCGCTCGCGCCTCGGACCTTCTCAAAGTGCGTGGAGGCGGCACTGGAGCCGCTCAGACGCGCAGGGGTAAGAATTTTAACCTACATAGACGACTGGTTAATTCTGGCCTCATCCAGGGAAGTGGCCGTGAGTCACACGCACTGGGTCCTTTCCCACATACAGCGTCTGGGCTTTGTGGTGAACAGGGAGAAGAGCAGGCTGCAACCGGCTCAGCGCATGATCTATCTCGGCCTACAGCTAGACTCTGTGACGTTCCGTGCTGCTTTGTCCGAGGACAGACGGAGGAAGATTACCCGTCTAGCCAGGGAG